ATTTACCAATAACTTGTTGGGGAATCTTTGAAATTAGCCACTGTAGACAATGCATCAACAAGTTAATCGAAAAGGGAATTTAAAACCTTATTCAAATATTCATTTCAGCCGAAGAAATCATTGAAAATAAAAGTAGTTGTCAGTAGGTTACTCCGTGAATAGACAACCAGTATAAACAATAGGTTAACATAATTATGTTGAAGACAAGAAAGTCAAGTTCTATTCAGAAAGTCTCCGAGCTCAAACGGCGTAACGGTTGTGGCTGGGAAGACAATGTTTTAGACACGAAAGGGAAGACAGAGTTCAGTTTTTTAAATTTCATAAAAAAACGGTCTTGTTGAGAGGTCACAAAACTAAATATTATGCCAGGCAAATTCTAAACTACATAAGCAAAATTTTCCGCTTCGAAACTTGGGTGGGGGAAGGGCGGGGGGAGAATTTGAAATAGGTGGGACTGTCTCCCCCTCACATGTTTTCGTGGGGAAAACTGCAACTTCTCTGCACCCTCACTACTGCTTCGTCGCCTCTGCACAAAATTGTCAATGAAAATGAACGCCATTCAATTTGCCAATAAATAGGCTTGTTTTTTTTATTTAAACTTAGAATGAAATTAATCAAATAGTTGTGTCTTCAACTTTCACTTATTTCTTCATCATACTCCTATGTTTTGCTATGCCTTGCCGCGAAGACAAAAGTAACCAAAATCTCCCTTGAGTGGCTTTCCTTCGACAGCTCGTTGACAGTTCATATCTTAGGAACTGAGGATTTCCGCTTCGCCGCCGACTTCTCTGGGTAGTATGATCTGTAAATGTCTTTCACCATCGGCCAACATTCTCGGCATAGGAAAACTCCAGCAATAGTGTACACTACCACGATGAAAGTAACCATGACACGAACGTGGAAATCTACCTCCTCTTTTGAATCTGGAGATGGCATTGTTTAAGCCCGTTGTTGCACACTGGTGTGGCAGAATTCATCAGCTGATAATAACGAGAAGAGAAAATTCAGCTCGGTTCCCAGATGCTCTTTCAATGAAGAAATCTGCAAGGACAGGATCTCTGATGAGTTTTTGGCGTGTCCCTAGTAGGAAGGAGAATTTGCTTTCGATTGGAATCCTTCTCAGTTCTCTCAGATTTATCTTGTGGGCGAAGCGAACGTGCTCTGAACAGCTTGTCAAAATTGATGTGGTGTTTTGCTAAATTTTATCTGATATGTTTTTTTCATAAGTTTGAAGAATCCATTTTGACAATTATTAACTCTTTTATTGTAAAGCAACCGTCATTTTGAACCAATCAGATACCGAAAGACAATTTTCACGGTGAAAAAACTTGGAAAAGGCTGTCGTGCTTGCAAGATACGGACTGAAGTTCGTTCAGATCCATGAAATTAGAATGCAAAGCATTGCAAGGGGCCATAAAAGAAAGAAATGCGAAAAAAAAGATACAAAAAAAAATTTATCCTAAGCATCTGTCCATTAATTATAACAAGAGAAAAGAGTAGTCCCATAATTTTCTCTGGATGTAAAATACGTATTTGTGTTTACAGAGCCCTGACCATAATGATAAATGGACGTTTAATCGTTTGTCTCATGATACAGAGTCACTCTAAGATTCTCCGGTTTTGTTTTTGCGAAAAAAATCAGTCGATTGTGGATGTATGATGGACAGCTGTTTGTCAGCGGGTCATTTCGATATGCACACAATCCCCAATAGCCTTAATACCGTTGTACGTAATTGGAAGCCGTTCAACCACTAGAACGTTCCTCGTTCTTAATCACTAAGCTCCATATCCTCTTCGCCTTTATCAGCTCAGTTTTTAATAAAATCGTGAATAGCTTCCAGGCTTTCGCTGTTTCTTGTTTCAGAGGTTTCCAGATCATAATAATATTTTCTTTGTGAATTATCTTATTCTTTTTCGTCGTACAACATTGTAATCAGTCGGTTGGTGACTAGTTGACTAGTTTCTTTACAGTTTTAGTTGCAAATTTTGAATTTACAGGTTTTCGAGAATAACCAGAACCAATCAGAACACTAAGATTCAACTCAGGACTACCTTGCCATATAATTGTTTATTTGAAATGTAGACGTGTAAGCTGCAATAGAATTGTTTATCGTGAAAATAAAATTTTGAATTTTACAAAGTTTGTAACCACGTGTGTTCATTATATATTTGAGTTTGCGCCGCAAAATTTTAAACGGCCAGGCTGGCGTGCAGACATGCTAACAGGAGAAGCTTGTTTCCTGTACTGTTTGCTCAAATTTAATTGGGCAGGTTTTTTTAAGACATTTTGAAATATCAATTTTTTCTCTTACTACTATGATAATATCACCTCATTGTTCAGCAGTTTGGCTAACCAGTCAGGTTCCGATCAAACGTTTTAATGATGAAACGTCAAACAGCGTGCAGTATAGCGGCATAAAACTGAATTGCGTGAAATTTGAAAGCCAAATGGTGCTCGACTTTGCCGTAAAGAATTATAAAGCGAAATGCAAAATCAAGGATCAAATGGAGAATATTTTAATTCGACGTGGTTATATGGCTCTGGCTGTAATGATAGAGAATGCCTCGCAATATAGAGTCAATATCGATTGTGGTGTCAGCTTTAACCTGTTAATCGCTATCTGTAACTGATAGCTGACACTTCCATTAGAAGAAACTCTATGTCGTGGAACAAACGATTTAATTCATCAATCAGAAGGTGTAAAGGTGTATATCTGACAGGTTTCTTCAGGATAGTTTATTTGCATAAGTATCTGAAATCCTATGGGTTCCTATTTGACTTATTAACAAATTCGTTCATTAAAAGAACTCCGCTTCGAAAAATTATCCCTATAAAGTTCCTCACTTCTTCGCTGTCATTGCGTGTCTAGAGGTGGTGGCCTGGAAACGCAAAGGACAACAAAAGCTTAAACGGCTGAGTTAGTGTTGAGTTAGTGTGAAGCTGGTAACAACTTGTAAACCAAAGAACAAAAGGAAATTCTGAATTACTGTGGAGACGTCAATTAGCATATTGGCCCAGAGCCGCTCTTCTTGAAATAAAACTGAAAAAAACCGTGGTTAGCCGCTCGGAATACAGCGGGCTGTTTTATACCAATACTAATTGACCATAAATACCCCACCTTAAATAACAATTCTGGTTTCCTTTATTTCATTGAAGTGTGCTTTACCAAATAGTCCATGTGAAAGATGATTTATCGGACAACCTTCATGAACATCAGTCTACAAAAGTATTGTCAGGAGGGAAACATCAAGCATTTTATAACTTCATTTTTCATTTTTTTTTATCTCAGTTTCTCTTTTCAGCTTACATGGGATACGTGTCCAAGCAGAAAGGCGTCATGAGAGTTGCGATAGTTTTTGTTACAGAAACTTGTGTGTTCATTTCCATCCAGAATGACTCGAAATTTTAAAATTTAACAGCTAAACCTGCATAGCTCTGCAAATTTTCAAAAAACTTAGGATGGCGTAAGTCACGCTAGACATGTAAATGTCGTGTCACCAGCTTCATCTATTCTCACAACATTAGCGTATTCAGGTTAACACCAGGTTCTCGAGTAACATTCTTTTATTTCCAAACTGCACCTGGTTAAATGAAAATCGTATAGCTGAAGATACGGGTGGAAAAATATTTAGCTACTAGCAGAAATTGTTATTGTGCAGAGCGGTCGATTTGCTGAGTAACAAAATGATAAAATCAAAATTAAAAGAGAGAAGAAAGAAATAAAAAACGTTTAATGCCGAATCAACTTTTCATTACATCAGTGCAAATAATGACTTTTACGATCTAGTCACACTATTCTATTATTGATAGCATTCAGAGTTGAAAATATTTAGGGAATCCTCGTGTATGGATTGACAGCTCGACATCATTAAGAAATCGCACTTTCGTGCGGCGCCTTGAAAGTAACCCTTATCTATCTATAGATCTCCTGTGAGCTTAAATCAGTATATGAAAAAAATTATCTTTGAATTGTTCTTAAAAGTTAGTGTCGCAGTGATATATAAAGAAGTTCCTAGACTTAATACTTCGTCCAATAACTGGTTCGCCTCCGCACTTGATTAATAACAGCGGCGGGTTTCTTTCTTCTACACCTTTTAAAGTTTGATTCTTTCAATGCGGACGTTCCCTTCTGCAAAAGAAGCCTTAACTTTAAAAATAAGGCAAAATGACAAATGCCTGACAGCTGTGTTTCGAAGGAGGTATCCTACAGCCTATCCACTAATCTTCAGGTAATTCTGTCACAACAAGCGCGTAAACGAACCCAAAATGTTCTGCAACCCTTCCCGGCCATGAAATTGATTTTGACCAAGAAAGAGACGAAAAATCTTTTCTGAGCGCGACTTCTTTAAAATACCCTCATAGAAAGTCAGCAACAATGTTCTTGGACAAGAGCCTATGACAACTTGAAATATACGGAAGTATATAAGTCAGACGCGAAAACCTTTCACAGTGGTATAATCTTTCGGGAAGCAACAAAATCTCATAAGAGAGACACATGAGTTTGTATATAAAATAGTGCGATTTATTTGAACTCAGAAATTTCCGTCAGCAGCGTTGTTAGTATAGCCTCCTTGATAGTCTTCTGAAATCTAACAGTAAGCTGCAGGAAAGCAAAAGAATAGCGTGGTGCAGCCAACCGAGAGGATCTCAACTGCCGTTTAGCCAAAGACCTTACTCGCTCGTCATGTTACTCTTATTTGGTTTCACATCATTAATTTCCTTTTGCCTTCGCAAAATATCTATCTAAGGTTACTCAGTTTACGCAGCGAAGTAAATATTTTGCGCATTTTTGGATGATTGAAACGACATCTGGCAATAAGGCAAACTGGACAACTTGATTAAAATCCCGTTATTAAAAATACTGTGGCACATTTTGACTGACGCATTTTTGTGAAGAGTGCCGAAAGAGAAAGTGATTGATCGTCTCCGAGCTGAGCTGGAAAAGCGTTTCTTTACAGCTGCACACATCTTGGATCGTCGACGGTAACTATATATATATATGAATTTTTCATGCACTGAAGCTTGTGTCAGCAAGATGAAGACTACAGCGCTTTGTGTTTTTGCACTGTTCCTTTCTTCGATGTTAGTTGAGGGCGGCATGGTTAATTATAAATGCCTTCAGTCTGGTAATTGCAAGGGAGCAAAAGTACATGAATAAGTAGAAATCTCTTACGTTTTCAATCCGTCTAAAATGTTTTAGATAGTGTTAATGTTTAATTTGAGTTGAATTTTCTAGGAGTTTCGATTAGGAATGGCAATGTCTTTTCTTTCAAAAGGGGATTTTCCAGTAAGGAACACTTATTAGTGAGCGTAGACATACCTTATGTATGTATTCAGTCATGTCAAAATGAGCTGGAATCTTTCAATAATGTTTTTTCTTTATCATTTCATTCATGTCATTGTTGAATGATCGTAGTTGTTCTACTCAGTAATTTTTCGCACTGAAAGCCGTTTTAAACTCTTTTAGGGAAGGACTCCGAAAAAGTTTAGAGATAAAGAAGAGGCTGGAAATTTGGAAATGATGAAGATGAACATCCGTAGACGCTTGGAGGAGGTAAGTACAGGTTTTTAATCTATCGTCTCTTCGGTTTGTCTGGTTTAGTCAGTATCCAAATAGTTGAATTGGAGGAAGAAGTCATTCGGTTCTTTTCATGCATTTTACTCAAAATATTCGTCAGAGCTTAACGGTCTTGTTTTTTTATTTCTTTTTTTTCGAATAAATTTGATGAGAAATTTTAAGATTATGTTTGTTGAATCTTTGTAGGCAAAACGTGAGCAACAGTACCGGAGAGAAATTTGCTTACAAGCCCGCGAGCTGAGATGTGGAATGGAACAAAAGAAATAGGTTCACTGCAGTCAAGACCACACAGCTACCTGAAGTTAAAGCATAATTTCATTCCTAAATGACGAAATTCAGATGCGGAGGTTTGAGCCGCTATCATCAATATTATATTCTGTGAAAATTTATAAATTGTTTGAATTTAATAAAGGCTGTGGTCCATATGGTGAATATGTACGATTCGCTCTATTTGTTGTTGAGCCCTAACATTTTAAGTGGCCCACCAGGGTAGTGTGAGGACTCTTTAACCCTTTAACTCCCATGTCTGACCACGACACATCTTCTCTTTAGGATTTCAATACAATATCAAACAAACAACAGATGAGAATCAGGAAAAATATCATTGAGTGGATTATCAGTTGACCCAATACCAATTTCTCCAAATTACCATCATAAAAAACTGTATGATAAACAGAAAGGAGAATTACTAATAAGATCTTTAGAATGAAGGAGTTTATATCGAGGCATTTATATTGATGTTTAGTTAAACATCGAGTTATTGCCCCTGTAATTCGCAATAAACTGATTTTTATTCACAATTTACTATAAGCAATTTACTATAAACATAGGTGGATCTTTCCGCTTGCACTGCTGCTGCAGTCATTTTTGTTTCACCATTGAAGAAAGGCATGATATTGGTCCTTCATTTTAAGAATCATGGAACAGCAACAAATCCCAATCAGTTTGAGCTACAGAGCTAGGCATATATAGCTAAAGTCTTGAAGAATTTTATCTGGCTGGAGTAAGCTCAACCTATTTTACATAACCTCTTTCCCTGCAGCCGGTAATCTTTTTGGCATACAGTCAAATGTTGGCGGTTTCGATAGATATCGGCCGTCTTTGTCAAAACGTGCCAAGACTGATGGCTGATAGGCATCAGAACTGTCAACATCTAACCATAAAGTGAAATTTATATCATCACCTGCCGCGGAGAAATTCACGTTAAATTTCATACTAACGGATAAGATCGAACGAATAGAAATGCAACGCGTCCCGCCAATGTAGCACGTTCGTTGGCTGCCAATGATGTATTTTATTTTGGTGTCTTTTATTTTAATCCGACATTAAGGTAGCTCTGCTTAGTAACATAATTCCTCTTGTGATTTGATCTTAGCTACCCATGCACCATAACCTCCCAGTCAGCGGAATAAAAAGGGAAAACATGCAGCGGTCTGCTAAAGCCTACTCGTTAAAAATTCAGGTTTTTTTAAAAAGCGTAGACAAAGCTGGCGAGTGTATCCGGACTGGCTCACGTTGACCGCCACCCAGCTTTAAATATGTTAGCGTAATGGTTTTCTATAAGATTGCGTTGCGCGAGAGAAAAGACATCCGCAAAAAAACACGAATGGATAAATTAATAAATAAATAACAAAATTAAGCGCTCGTAGAGATACTAAAGAAGAATGAGACGGTTATACGATAACATATTTCCTTAATTTTTGATTCTTTTTTTCCGCCGCAAATTAGTTTTAATCCTGACAAAGCTTAACTGAGCCCACTCAACAAGACAAAACAATCGAAATAATATGCTGGCCATTTCTCTCATCGTCTTTCATCTTTTTTTAACTAGCAAATGATAATGTAAATATTGATTATAACGAAGATGATAGTGACAATAATGCAAACAGTGTCTATGGTGAAGTGACATGTCAATGGAATTACACAATTTTGCAAAATTCTCATCGAGAAAGTGGTCTTTTTATTTTAAAAAAGGTAAACCACGGTGTGAACGGTAAAACACACAACGGTCACGATTTAAGCGTTGCCTGCTTTAATGATTCAAAAGAGGGTACTAATTTTAACCGGGGCACTGTAGGAAATGAATCTCTTATTCGAAATCATGATCATTCTTCAAAATTACCGTTTAAAGTAAAGGAATATCTCTCAACGGAGAAGGCATTCTAATAACGCATCTCTATGAGGTTACCAAATATTGCTTTCTATGCCTTTCGTCAAGAAAACGGGGGAATACTTACGATAAACTGTATTCAGGGTTGCACCTCTAAAAAGTTTGGCACTGTCAGGCTAAAGGTATATAGAGAAAGGGGCTTCAAGGGCTGCGGTAGGGAAAACAATAAGGAAAGCTGCAACTGACGCATTTAATCGAAGATTACAAACGTTACAAAAAAAAATGAAATGTTTTGAAGATACTTTCCCCTCTTCTTGCTACTGCAAGACGTTTGAGTTTTGTATTGATTTATTAAAGGTAGATGAAAAGTACCCCATACCATAAGGAAAGTACAGATATACCGAAGATATCTGCGGAGTTGAAGTATTTGAAATTCAGGGTAGGAAACCCCCCCCTTCCTCACAGCCTTTTTCATATAATTGAAACGAATGCACCCTTCCCCGGTTCGTGTACGATTTGAAATGTGCATCATAACGGCTTCCATGTTTTAGAAAAACCCGTTTCTGCATAAATTTTAAAGCTTGTGGTCAAAACAAATTTAAAAAATCTCCTGCAAAGGTACAAAACATAATTTTACCCATCCTCAATATGGACGTGACGCCGTTTGTAGTATCTGGTCTTTTTTGTCTCATTTTTGGACTTTCTGTTGAACTTATCGGACGTAATCCATTAAATATGTTGAGAATAAGCGAGAAAGAGGAAGGATCTGCCATGAATGCAGAAGGTTCGGTCATAACAAGCGAAGATCCTGCTATTACCAGCGAAGGCTCTGCTTTAAAGAACGATGACTCTGTCAAAGAGAGCGAAAACCTATATCCTTATTGGCGAATCGATATTTCACCAGTGAGCTTTAAAATGAGGGTCGACACCATGATTTTCTCTGAAAAAAACCTTCAGTCTTCGTTGTCAGCTTCAAATACACGATGGCGTAGCAACCCTCGTTTTTTGGCTCCTATTTTTCATGCTCAAGATTAATGATAATAATAATAATAATAATAATACAGTGTTATCAATTATTATTTCTAGTTATAAGGAGAGTTAAATGCCTCATATTTTCTTTCTTTCTAGCGTATAATAAATTAAATTGTGGATTATTGGTAGCGTCTTTAGATTTCGAGGAAAACGGGGCCAACCGATGATGAGCGTACGCCATCCCAGCATACACTCCTCAATTTGCACAACTTACCCGCCGACTGAAAATAAGTTGAGGAGTTAAATTGATTGTATTTTAAGTTGGAAAAAACGCACCTCGTGCATTACGTAATGAGAACTGGCGCCACCTCGAAGGTACTTTGTTTCCTGATGGGTGGAAAATTCTGGCAAAGGCGTACGGACAAAACCTGTTCTAAAGATTCCATGGCATATAGTAAACCCATTTATACGGTTATGAACAATTCTCCCGTCAAATGCAGTCATCTCCGAATCTGCAGATGAATTGGAACCACATGGATCAGTCACAATCAGCCCATTGGCTCCTGAGAATGTTTTTTCGTCTTGTCACGAGCAAGGACAAAGAAAAAGTTCCGAGGAATCGAACCTGAGACCTTCGGATTCCGCGCTCCGATGCTCTAACCACTGAGCCACAGAGACTCCACAGTGAGCCAAGTCTACTGCGAAGTTCATATGACACACGTCCTGCATATTGCTGGGATCAGTAATATCGATAGCGTAATGTTTGTAGATAGAAATAAGAGTAAGTTGTTCCAAAATCTTTCACCACTCATTCTGATAAATTTTAAATACGCACTATATTCAGGTGTTTTAAGAATGCAAATTATTATGTGTTTATTTTTGTAAAGTTTTATTACACGAATGAGATCCTTTCCTCTTCACCGCTAAGAGTTTCAGGTATTTGGCTAGTTTCTCGTTTACCAGTGACATGAATTAACGTTGTGGTAATGTCACTTATCTTAATGCGTGCCTTGAGATGAAGAAGCTTGTAAAAAGCTCTTTTGAACTGAGGAAGCCTCCATGCGTATAAATAAGGGTTGATACCAGAGTTGCACAACACAATTAAGAATTGCAAATCCCGCAACCAACGAATAAGCTCACAACTACAGCCTGAGCAAAAATTTAACAAGTAAATCATAACACAGACTGGTGTGAACGAAGCAAAAAATGCAGGAAGCACAATCATCAATGCTTTAGCTGCCTTGCTGTCCTTCTTTGCATTGATAAGACTTTTTTGGTTCTCCTGTACATCAGATTTCGTGCTCTCCATTGCTCTCCTCTTTCGCCAATATCTCGATCTTTGTCACAGTCGTTTAAGTATTCCTACATGAACAAAGATGAGAAGACCAAACGTGCTGAGAACAACAGTGTTTGCAAAAATGAAGGAGTAGAATATAAATCCGAGTTGGAAGTATGCAAAAGAAAACCCTAGTACTGCCAACAAAATTGACAGGGATGTTAAAATAGCGCGCTTGGAGGTAACCATTGTTTTTTACTTCACTGGCGATGATACTGCCACATATCTGTCCACGGTAGGTGCCATGAGTGTTAAAATAGACGCCGTGCGCAAAATAAAGTACAAAATGTGCAAGATTTTGATATCTACGATGTCAAGTTGAAGCGCTTCGCTGGTGTGAAAAGCAACTGACACTGGATCCATAATCGTTCCCACAACCAGATCAGTGGCCGCTAGACTTAACAGGAAATAGTTAAAAGGCGTTTTCAAGTTCCTGAAGGGATCTTTTATGATGGCCAAACAGACGAGAAAGATTCCAGGAATAGTTAAAATTATCAGGAAAACTGAAAAGGAGGCTGTGAAGTATGAGAGAGCTTTTGTTTATCGTTTCATTCATGTCATTGTTGAATGATCCAAGTGGTTCAACTAATTTTCCGCACTGAAAGCCGTTTTAAAATCTCTTTAGAAACGGACACAAAAGGTTTAGAGATGAAGAAGAGGCTGAAGATTTAGAAATGACGAAGATGAACATCCGTAGACACTTGAAGGAGGTAAGTACAGGTTTTTGATCTATCGTCCGTTCGGTTTGTCTAGTTAATGTTATTGAAGTCACTATCCAAATATTTGAATTGGAGAAAGAAGTTATTCGGTTCTTTTCATGTATTTTGCTCCAACTATTCGTCAAAGCATAAACGATCTTGTTTTTTTGTGTTTTTTTTTTGAAAAAATTCGATGGCAAATTTTAAGATCATGTTTATTGAATCTTTATAGGCAAAACGCAAGCAGCAGTACCGGAGAGACATTTGCATACAGGCCCGCGAGATGGGATGT